CTCGAGGGGATTGACATTTTTAGACTTTTCCCAGTGTGGGATTATTTCATCCGGGGCAAAAGTTTCAGATAGTAGAAGAACACCGCACAAACACTTCAGTTGGGGAAAGTAACCATTCTTTCACTTTTTGCCATGTCAGCTCACACTACCAGCAGGTATCGAACCTGTCTATCTTATCAGTCACAACAAAGCTCCGGAAGAGCAAAGAATCATGCAAGACGGAATATTAGTACAGGTCTACCTCCGTCAGTACGACATCGGTTACAAGACAAACCTCATTAGTAGACAACGATCCGAAATCCCCTGACACCTGAAACGTGTACATACAGGTCCAGATAGTAGATAATACTGGTTATAAGACAACCGTTTTGAAACCTCCGCCGGGTTGTCTACTAACGACAAGAGTACATAAACCAGAGTGTGCAACTCGGGATGGTTCCTGTGGGAGCGCAATTTCTGATGGCATGGTAAGCCACAGGTTCGGTGAAAAGTTGCGTAACCAGTCACGGTGGTGCAGGTCACTGGGTTTGTCCTGATTTCGGTTTTTTTGATACGGATAGCCTGGTGAATTTACTTGTCGGTGGATGTATGCAGCGTACACAGTCACACAAAACACCGAAATCCTGATACAGGACGTCTAAAATCAAGCAAACTTGGCTGATTTCCGGGCTATGAAACACGAAAATTTGGGCTGTACGCAAGTCGCGGCTTGGCCGACCTCATCAGGGTGACGTAGTGCACGAACTGCGCTGTTTCAGATCTGATATACACTGGATATGCACAGTTGCACACTCTGGTTTATGCACTCTTGCTAACGAGGATAGACCTGTAGTAAGGTTTCAGGGACTACGCTAACTTAACCCTGGTGTCAGTACAAAGCAGGACTCACAGAGCACCCCTCCACAGTCTCCAGCAAACTGGCCAAGTTAGTCTTCTCCTTCTCCTGCTTCTTTTCACGTTGTGCTGCATAGTGTGAACATAGGAACATGGTGTGAAGCACAATACAACATGCACTCGGGCACTATCACAGACCTCGCAGATATCATAGACATGATTTACAGACATTGCAGATCACCGAGAAATCAATGCGCGTTTGATCTCATGCAGAGGATGCGATTAAGCTGGACAAAGCCAAACGCCATCGTGCCAACTACATGTACACAAAAGGACAAAATTATGTAATGCCCTGTTCCTCAGACAAGAACACATCTAGATTTCTGTGGCAACGTATACATATGCACATGCACAGCAATAGCGTTCGCACACACAACATGGCCGTAATGAATGAGAAAATACGTACACGCACCATCTTACCTGACTCGTCCTTCAACGAGAGATCATAGAAGCTTTGCAGCAGAAGACGCTCCTCAGTCAACTGGTGACTCAGCTGGTACATTTCCGCCTCGAGGTCTTGCCAAGGAAAAGCATGTCAAGGAATCTTGTTAAAACTCGGATGTTGAGCCAATATTATAAGTAAAGAGAAAGGAGGAAGACCTCGTTACCTTGGTGGACTGTTAGTCATAACTCGTAACTTAGTGGTCATTTCTCTTTCTTGTGCTGACCTTAACCTCCTACCCAGACAATGATGGCAACCTACTACTATTTCCTGTGCGAACTGAAACTGGGCCTGTCCTCTGAACAATCAGCACTCGCAATGAGCAAAGTTTTAGTGAATGCAGGAAACAATCAGACTCTGACAGACAAGTTTCAGCAAACATAAGCTCAACAACAAGCTCATAGGTGCTCCACAGAAAACACGGCAAAGCGCACGCGTACAAAGCACAATGGAAGGTACTGCACAGGCAAAATTAAACCTCCAAGCCACTAAGAGTCATCCAGCCAAACCGATTCCCATAGCACGGACTAACGCAGAGCTCAGAACTGATCAAAACCTAATACAGGTCGACCCTCGTTAGTAGATAGCCCAGCGAATTTCAAATTGTTAGCCTCATAACGAGTATTATCTACTACTAGTACCTGGACGTGAATGTACGCGTTTCAGGTGTCAGGGAATTTTTGATTGTTATCTACTAATGAGGTTTGTCTTGTAACCAATGTCATACTAACGGAGGTAGACCTGTACATAATAATGGCAGTAGTACATGGCCTCAAGCATGTGCACCTCCCACAGGCAACGCTCACTAAGTATGTACTTTCAGACACCCTCATGGATATTCCGCAGTCCTAGCCTGAACCATATTGTACTGTCGTGGACATTGAAATCTGATGGGATGACCGGGGCCGGCACTGTTACCGATCTTAGCGCGTACATGCACTGTAACGTTAGGTCACGTACACATCGTAAAAAGGGACCAGCAGTGCTCGCAGCTGCAAGGCCAGCGCCCCGTGGCTGCTTGACTTCTCAATGGATTTCAATGTCCGAAATTTTGTACACATATGCACAGACACGCACCATGTACCGTGTTTTCACCCGTCGCAAGAGAAGTACACAAACCTGCAAATGCACTGGATGTGCACTCTCAGATTTTCTCTTATAGCAACAATAGCGGATCTGATTCTGAATGAAACAGATCAAGGCTAGCGACACACACACACACACACACACGCACGCACGCACGCACGCACACACACACAAGAGCAAGCACCAAAAACACAACCAATATATAAATACCATTGGGACAATACACCATAATAGACTGGACCTAGTAGCAATGTTTAGGATACAGGAAATTTCCTTCGACGTCTCAATGAACTGCGTGTAGTTTTTGTACACATTCTTCTTCAGTGCCTGTGACGTTTCTTCACTGACTGCTTGGATGCGCTTTCGATGTGATTGGAGTTCCAGGTCACCTACACAGTTGCGCGACAGCTCCCTCACATCTGTGTCACATGAGCACACAAACAAGGAAACACACACACACATGCACGCACGCACGTGCACACACACACACACGGGTGAGTGTATTCTGCATGAGTGTACATGATGCATGAACAACAATGCATGGCACTCAAGCAGGAATGCAAAGACAGTGCTAGGAGATCGGAAGTGCTTCTCACACCACTAGTATGCCTGAGAGGAGAGGACTGAATCACCGCCCAGAGAGACGGAACTGATCACGAGTGAATTAACGTTTCGACCATATTGGTCTTGTTGAAAAGAAAGAATTCGTTGATGTGAGTGTGGCACTGTTAAATAGGAATGAAGAACAGGAGAGTGCAGCTTAGCACTGTTAATAGACAGGTTATTACATGCTGAACGTGCTAGCCAGGAACTGAAGGACACATTGCATGAACAGCAACAGCGGCAGCAGCAGGAACCAGTAAGGTTTATGGCGCTGTGACAGGTGCAAAGGAGGCTGCATCGGCACTAAAGTTAGTGTTATAATATAGTCAAGAGGTGTTGAAATCATGGTTCAAGACAGGATAGCAAGATTGGAAACATACCTGTATGCAGGGCCACTAGCTATAACAAAAAAAACTAATAGCGTGAGTGGATGTAGCACTAAATTGCGATAGTGCATAGCAATGTATGCAAGTGGGGTATCACTCGACTCAGAATCGTGCACACGACCCCGTAGGACCCCATACCATCCCAAATGTTACACAAAGGTACACCACTGACTTTCTCACTGACTGTCACTGTAGCCAAGCCCAGTCACACTAGTCACACTCATCAGGTAACACTTGACACTTTCTTTGCAAGGAAGTACAGTTGCGCTCACTGAAATCCGACCCAAAGTGCATAGCTGGCACCCTGGACCAGTTCCGATTACATCATTGTATGTGTACATGTGTACGTCCAGCCGCATTCATTCCATTTCCAGGGTGTCAAGGGCCGAGGAAGTTGAGGGCGCCAGCTTTGCACGTAGGGTCGGATTTCAGTGAGCGCAACTGTACAATGCAAGTCCGAGTCTTAATTTTATCACACAGTACAATTCTGCAAGCCTCTACATGCATTGCGGTACCAGTATTGCGATTGTATGGCGTAAGGTTAGAAATGGATAAATAAAAGTTTTTTTGAAAGGAATTACGGCGTCTACTGTGTTTCGTGTAAATTGCTTTTGGGCTAATAAAAAAGAATTTCGGTATCTCAAGAGTTAATCCAAAGATGCGGGATAAAACCAAAAATCACGAATGAGTCCGTGGGTACACACAAAAAGAACTCTGCAGTCTTTCCAATTGTTTGCCATCATCAGGGATATGCCAGTGTGCGTTGGAAGTTTCTATCATGACGAGACTACAGGGAAGTAACGCTATTCTCATTAGCATCACCATAGGTGATACTGTCTTATAGCCGCCAACCCTATAGCCCATACATACTGTATGTGAATGTGTTCACAGATGTGCCAAATCTTCTGGTTGGCTTGGTCTTTCCCAGTGGTTTGTGACAATAGACATAATAGGTGATCCATTGCCTGTGCTCCTGTCACATATTTCTGTCTGTCTGTAAGGCTACGTGTGCGCGCATGCGTGTTTGCGTGGATGAGGGCATGGCGTGTGTTCTTGTGTGTGTGTGTGTGTGTGTGTGTGTGTGTGTGTGTGTGTGTGTGTGTGCGTGTGTGTGTGTGTGTGTGTGTGTGTGTGTGTGTGTGTGTGTGTGGTGTGTGTGTGTGTGTGTGTGTGTGTGTGTGTGTGTGTGTGTGTGTGTGTGTGTGTGCGCACAAAAATCCTGCCAGCATTAGTTTAGGATTTCTAGTGCCATGTTAAATACAACTTACATGCTTCTGCATCGAAGCCAGGAGCTGACAGACGCTCTGCTAAAGGATCCGTAATAGGATTCTGATCAGTATAATCACTCGTCGATTTTTTCCATGACAAACTGTCACTTGACGTCAAAGAGACGTCTCGACCAGAACTAAACGACATGGCCACTAACGATGAAAATACTACACGGAAAATGACTTAGGACGCTACACTGTGCCAGTAAATATTAATCGCTTCCTCAACTCCCGAAGAGGAGAACTACCACCACCCAGCCATTCTCAACACAACAGGTACAAGGTGAAGAAGACTCGATATCAAAAAAAACCATCAAAGGAAAAGTTCTCACTTGAAACAAGAAATGTCGCATCCTCGATTTTTATTTTCTGCTGCAGGATTACGTCACCCATTCACGGTGCACCGAAATTGATGATGTAGTAAGTTTACGACTCCCACCAGCGCATAAGTAACTAATTTAGTACGCTCGTAGATGGCGAACTGAGTACGTGCATAGCAGGGAGGGGGCCGGGGGGGGGGGGGCGGGGGTAGTCGTCAAAATACCGGTATTTGACGACTCTCTGTCCCTGATGCGTAGAAGCAGGGAGGCATAACCATTGATAACCGGCGGTAGTCTACGAGCTTACATTATTCTTGCAAGTGGACTTCCTTGCCTGGACCACACCCAACCAACAAGGCGGCATTTGGCCAGTTGAGTTGGAGGATCATATAAATATGTGACCATCGCCAGGAAGCTCATCTCAGCTCTAACAGGTCGCCCTGAGCCCAACACCCAACTCCGTTAGCTCTCCCATGCAGGTTGGGACTTGGGAGGCCTGGGAGTCGCCATGCCTTCAGATCTGGTCAAGCAGTACGAGACCTCCACTGAACCGCTGACGGAAAAATCATGCAGCAGGACCCTCTCGAGGAGGCAATGGAGCAATAGCGTGCACGCAAGGTGGCAGCGCAATCCCTAAAAAGGAGTCCAATATAGGCAGTCAATAATATATAGCCCTAAGGAGTGAAATAATGTTATGCAGGAATATTTGACTGCTTAGGTTTAGCAAAAATCCATGGGAGTCAATACTAAAGGAGTGATAATGCTGATTTATCACTCTCTTATTATTGACCGCCGCAGAAACGTGTGATCTCTAAGCGGTCAAATATCAGCATAATATATTGACCGCTTATATTGACCCCATAATCGGTCGATATATGAAATATGTTTATTATTATTATTAGGTATTATTATTATTATACGCATTCCCGCGTTGAAGTGTAGCAGCTGAGTATGCTGTGTCCACAGCTTCGCTTATGCAGAATGGCTTGGGTGAGAGGAGAGGGGAGAGAAAGCAACAAGGCAACCAACATCTATGAAATAGGTCACAATAACATGAAGAGAACCAACCTACATATGCATGATTGCACAAGAATGGAGATGACACTGAATGGCTATAATCATTGTGCCACAACACCGGTACATGTACACAGGAGATCTGTCGACAATGTAACGAAACATAAAACTCAGTTACTCAATAAAAAAAAACCTCTGCCAGTAAAAGCAAGGTCTCCAGCAGGGGTCGTAAAAGACCTCGGGGGACCTCGGTCTTTTACTCGTTCTATATTCATAACATTGGCCTCTTTAATCGTGCAATAATAGATACGTATTGGTTAATTCTGGCTTATGGTCTATCTTGCCGCGATAGACTTGTGCTGCGCTGTGGACATCCCCCAGACTGAGCAGCAAGCATGCAGGCACTAGGTGTGGTTGCTTCAGAGTAAATGCACGCAGGCAGAAGCTTACCAGGGAAACCCTTTTTTAGCACCTACTGGCCACAGAAAGACCCTCCCGCCAAGTAAATTGCCTGCTGGCTTTGCATGGGATGACTCTGACCTCAATTGTTTCATTTCTGACAAATTCGTAGCCACAAACTATTCTAGAAAGGAATGGGATACAATATGGATACTTCGAAGTACAAGTTGCACAGACTATTTTCATTTTTTCATGTGAAATCATATCCGATGATGCCTAAAGACTTTTGTCAGCCAACATGGAATTTGTTTGGCGAACAACACTACTCACTAGCCAAGATATCCTCTTTGTCTACAGTAGTACAGTATACTACACCATTGGACGTTAGGGGTTGGGTTACTGCACTTCCTGGTGTCCTGATGGAAACATGTACACCAGACAGCTGCCATTGAGCCCGAGTCACTGATGGCTGCCAGTATCTAATATACTACCTGTGCCAGAATGAATATTGCATTTCACACCTTCTAATCAGATGTGAAATCACCATAAAAAAATTACCTACTTTGAAGTAATACAATACAGTCATGTACTTCGAAGTACTAGTAGTACATGTACATTTCGTACTTTCACTAAAATAGTAAGTATTGACTACTGCCTACACTGCAAAAGACACCTGCACTAACACAATCATGATACCAGATACAAATAAACTAGGCTAAAGCCAAGTGCGAGTAAGTGGCCAGGTTGTTACAATACTCTGACCAAAATTATACATATCATACTTTATTAATTTTATAGAGCAGATGAGGTTAGTCACCATGGTCACATACGCTGCATTGCAATACTAGACTATCACCGGACAGAATGATACTTCTCATCAGGCACCAGAACTGATACCGTAATAATAATAATTATTATTATGTCTACACATACTATCCTAAACAGGCTAGTATGTGTAGACATATTAATAATAATAAACAGGCTACAGTGTAGCATACCAAGACTGACACCTGTTGGTAGAGTCTACATACTAGTACAGTCAAACCTCTTTAGGACGAACACCAAGGGACCGACGGGATTTGTTCGCAATAACGGGAGTTCTTCTTATCCACATCTTATACCCAGTGAATACACTGTGATTAATCCAATAGAGTTACAAATACTAGTTCTTCTTAAGCGAAAGTTTGTTTTATCAGTGTAATAACGAGCTTTCACTGTAGTTACTATTATTAGTAGATCTACCCTATACTATGACTATGGACGGTGCTATGGACCTTCCATATAGGCAAAATTAATGATTGTGGACCTGCTCCATTCACTGCTTTTCAGTCTGCCACAGCATGACATAACTGTTTCAAATCATTCCACTATGAAGAGCTCCTCAATCTCAAGAGCACCAACACTTCAACGACAAACAGCCCCAATTACACTGTGAATTCCTAGTAATAAAAATAATGGCATTGGTGGTGCCTGAAAAATTTCTGCAGCTGTTACTTGGCGCATACCAAGTGCCAGAATGCACCGCCACCATTCATGGAACTCGTCCACGGACGGTGCCATACCACCACAGACATCCTTTTACTGGCACACTTCATTGGCCCCACGTCCTCGATATTGACTCAAAAATAATTGAGCCTTGATTTGAGGGTATCTCCCATACACTATACAGGCAGAGACTCGGTTCCTGAATGCCCGCATGTCACAAGTCACCTGTCAGGCAAAACGAGTGGTCTCAGGGTGGCATCGTCAAACCCAAAGAAGCCGAGCTGAAGCCAGAGGAACCAACCCAGCCCAGTGTTACTGTTACAATCCCAACCACTCACCACCACCACCACCACAAACACCACACACAGAGGACAAGCGTTCGAGTTCTGGGTTCAAAGTGAATTCGCAGCAAAGTGCACTACTCTGCAACCGAGATCTACCTCCGCAGGGCTGGACTATTTCGATTCACACAACGAGCATCTAGACCGTGGGGTGGGATGGATGGCCACAATCCAGGACGCGCTAAAGCATGAACGGATAGCCAGGTGCGGCAGTAAAAACCAGCAGCAGCAGCGAAGCAGAGCAAAGTGATAACGATGCTAGGGACGCGGGCACTAAACGTTGAAAACACGGACAGATTGTTTGGTTGAGAACACATTTACAATTGGCCAAAGTGAAAGGGAGGGGAGCTGGAAAAGGGTCAAATAAAGGAGCTTGGTTTATAATGGAACACAGAGGCCAAGACAGACCACTAGACCAGGATCGGCAAACAAGCTCACGTCAGGGTGTTGGACTGTTGAGCGGGCGACGCACACGGCTAAACTTGTCATGCATGATGCTGAGAAGGCTCTCCCTCACCATTTTGAGTAGCTAGCTGTGGGTAGGTATCTTCGTTATCTACACGGATACGTACTATACAATTCTCCATTCTGTACACCGAGATGGCCTAATAGCACACACGACCGTCCACTTATGTTGACTTTTCCTGGTCGATCGCTGTAACGAGAACGAGGAAAAATAGAAACAGACGCAAACAACACGAAGCAGATGTGAGCACACCTCGCAAGGCAAACCACTATGCCATGGCGGAAGTAATCGCCAAACAGATAAAATCTTCTGCCCACGCGCGATAAAAAAAATCTATAGAGCAACCCCTAAACTGCGCACGGTGACAGCAACGACAGTGGGCAGGTAGATCTACCTGACCTCCAAATGAAACACGAACGACTGTATGCCGCATCGACAAGAATCAGGATGGCCACTTGAGCTGCGTGTGAAACCGTAGAAATGCGCAACTGCTGATCACACCGTTTCACTGATCCACCCACCGCTACCAGTACTAGTACAGCGCGGCCGACATGCCTCAAAAATTTCTCACCGCTCAAACTCGCAAGCGGCTAACAGTCAACTGAGCACAAGAGGTACCACTTGACACCCGAGCTCCACAACAAATTTGAATGCAAGGCCAAAAGAAACTTTCAACAGAAGCAGATTTCAATGAGGGGTTGAGGGGCTTGATTCGCATTCGTCTCTCCCCAGACCATCCACTAGTCGCCCCAGACAGTCCAGCGAAACAGCAGCACACGAATAAATACTAGAAAGTGGGACCGTGAGGTGGAACTGGCACTTACTCTCCTTCGTCGGCAGAGTGTTCTTCTCTTCCGTTTCGGTCTTCTTCAGCTTCGTCTTGTCGAAGGAGGCAACTTCTGAGATGTCTGGCTTGTCACCCATTTTGATTCTACACAGAGCAAAATACCATACATACCACAAACTGTGAGTGCCTCCCTATCCACAGCCAATAGCCAGAAGACCGAACGAGAATGCAGCGCTGTGGCTAAACCGCCACTGGGAACAAACTCAAAAAGAAGTCTTTACCTGGAAAATTGGAACCTCCGACAAAAAAATGGCAAACGATGAAGAACTTGCAACAGTGCTCGCGTTATAGAACTGATGCAGTGCGCACTTGTTTTATCCTCCTCCCATCGTCATATCGCGAAGGCCAGCGCTGCATTGTAGTGGCGGCCATGACGCTGAGTGCTCGCCGCTGATTGGCTGGCCTAATTTTGACGGTTAGCAGCTGGTGGCTTTGGCCCATACTTGCAG